CATTTACAAAATGCTAAATTAATCCCTAGCGAGTTCCTCACATTCTTATAAACATCTCATTTACATTTAGACGCCATTAACATCTCATTTCATCACTGAAGAAGGTTATAGTATTTTAGCCGAAACGTCTATTTTAAGATTTTTAAGTCAGTGACAACAACTTTTAAGATTTTATTACTATGCCTGACTACAACTACAGTATTTTTATACTTTCGTGTTGGTTTTGGTTCTACTACGGTTTGAGATTGGCTGAGTAGTCTAATTGGTTTGTAATTGGTTTGCTTTGGTTTAACGTCACTCAATTGAAAACTGCTCTAATCAATCAATCAATCAATCAATCAATCAATCAATCAATCAACCAATCAAACAAACGAGAAATTGATCCGTTAATCACTCCGCTAATCCGTCAGACGTCAGACGTCCGTCCGTTCTTCAGCCATCCAGTCTATCCCTCCGTCCGTACGCTGTCAGTGATTCAGTGAGTCTCAGTGAGTTTCAGTGAGTCAGTGAGTCCATAATTCAGGCAAGCAAACGAACAAGCGAACAAGCAAAAAAGACAAAGAAACAAGTAGGCAAAAGAGAAAAACCGCCCGAAACTGCAGTTCAGCAGTTTATTTATTCTGACCAAGTTTGCAAAATTGAATAGAAGGTATATATGCAAATTTATAATTTTTTTAAACAAACTGACATAATTTATCCCTTCGTCCGAAAACTAGGATGGGCAGTAGCTGTAAATATCTCTCTATTAATAGTTGCGTGCCTCGTGAAATGTAAGAATTATAGTTGTATGGTGTTCTTAAGGCATTGACCAGTGTCCTTTTTGTTTAAATATAAACCATTTAAAAGTGGTACGTAAGTCCTTTACGGTACGTAAGGTTATATTAGCTGTTGAAGTTCGTTCTCAAAGACCGTAAGGTCTAAGGTAATCAGGGCAACTTTATCATTAAGGTCTAAGGTAATGAGAACCACTTTATCAGAGCATAGGCGCGTGGTAAAAACACATAGTCACTCGGTAGTTTCCTTAATTCTTACCATTGGACTTTATTGAACTCTCAGGGATGTGAAGGCATCGGTTGACATGTTTATCATTCATGAAAGGCCCGTAGTCAATAAGGCACTCCCAGAGAACCTTAGCTGGCTTATCCTTTACAGTTCGTCCTTGGTTTGGTATGACAACGTACTTATACGCAACTCTTCCGGAGGCCTGTCGTAGCGTTAGTTTGGCTTCACCTTCTAACAAGTAGTTACCGTCAAGAACTTTCCTAAAAATATACAATATTTAGCTGTAAGACTCTTTCCAATTTCCTTTTAAAAATTCCTAAATTGGAATCACCCTTCCATAATAGAACTGGGCATGACGATCACTGGTGTTGGTTTTAAATTATAAAAACTTAAAGCTATAAGATTAAGTGTGTTTTTTCTTATGAACTGCACTGAAATGATGTAACTTTTTTTACCAATGACTGGGTATTTGTTTAATACATTTAATAAAGGCTTAAATAAAAAAATAAAAAAGACAAATGAAAGAGTGGTAGCATTGATTCATTACAGCAGTGCTGAAAATGCTGCACATGTTAGCTACCTAGTTTTACATGGCTTACATTCAGCTTATTTTAACATCTTCCGACATGTTCATAAAGGAAAGAAAAATGATTCCAAACTTTTTCACTCACGAACATTCTTGGATAATTTGCCGTTCTTTGGGGTTATTAAATTTTAATAACGAATAAGAAAAGAATACTATATGAGTTGGAACCATACCTTACTGGATGCATCTCAACTTGCTGTCCCGTGTGATGCCAAGAAAAGGGCGGTCCCCCTCTCAGGACGACTTTATCGCCTTTTTGAAAGTTGATATTAAACGTTGGCGTGAGCAATGCATGGAAAATAACAGTCATGGATTCAACGTTCTTTGCACTGTCAGAGTTTTTGGCGTCTCTCTTCCCCTCAGTGGAATGAGTGGCATCATTCTTTGCACCTTGGTTCTTTTCAACGTCTTTCTTTCTACCACTGAGATGAGGGGCTTCATTCTCCGCCCCTTTAGCCTTTCCTTCCTCTCTCTTCTTCTTACTAGGATGAGTTGTGTCATTCTCAGTACCTTTGGGCTTTTCTTCGTCTTTCGTCTCCTTCATGGGATGAGCTGCATCATTCTCAGTACCTTTGGGCTTTTCTTCGTCTTTCGTCTCCTTCATGGGATGAGCTGCATCATTCTCAGTACCTTTAGGCTTTTCTTCGTCTTTCGTCTCCTTCATAGGATGAGCTGCATCATTCTCAGTACCTTTAGGCTTTTCTTCGTCTTTCGTCTCCTTCATGGGATGAGCTG